GGAAAAAAAGGAGGAGGATTGGCAATAGATGTTAGCTCAGAGCCGGTCTTCCTCAGCAAAAAGAGGAGGATTAGCACGGATGTTAGCTCAGGGCTGATCATCCTCAAAAAAACAAACAAACAAACAAAAAAAAAACGCCCCATGAGCAATTGGTAAACAGAATAATGTCAGCATAACACAAGCATGTTGGTTAATATGCAATTTTCTCCAGGAAGTGAATGTTTTGAAGCAATCAGGGGCAAGCTTTTTCACAGTTAAAGGGACAGCCTTAGGAATAAAAGAAGATCTTAAGGAAAAAAGCTGCAAATGTACAGAAGTGTCTTCCTCTAGATCCACAGTGGCTGGTTTAGTCGCTTCAAAGACCACAACACTTGCTACAATGTTACATATGTGGCAAAGCTGTGAATGCAGATGAAGAAACTGCAAAGATATTTTGCCACATTAAAATAGATTAATGAAGACCACCTTCTATCAGATTTTTAATTTTGATGAAAATGGTCTCCATTAGAAGTTATTATCTCCAGACCAGCATCTTCAAGGAGGAAGCACAAGCCCCAGCCTTTAAGATTGCAAAGAAGGGACTGAAGACGTTGCTGAGCGCAATGCCTGAAAAACTGTGCTAGTATTTCTTTTTTTTGTGAGGAAGATCAGCCCTGAGCTAACATCCATGCCAATCCTCCTCTTTTTGCTGAGGAAGACCGGCACTGAGCTAACATGTATTGCCAATCCTCCTCCTTTTTCCCCCCTTTTCTCCCCAAATCTCCAGTAGATAGTTGTATGTCATAGCTGCACATCCTTCTAGTTGCTGTATGTGGGACGTGGCATCAGCATGGCCGGAGAATCGGTGCGTCAGGGCGCGCCCGGGGTCTGAACCCGGTCCGCCAGTAGCGGAGCGCGCACACTTAACCGCTAAGCCACGGGGCCAAGCCGGCCCCTTGTGCTAGTATTTCTATTAGAATCATTATTGGTTTTGTAATGCTCTGATTTTGCCTACATTTTGAGCAATCTGTCCCTAATTCTATTTTTCCCACAAAGTCTTGTTATTTTTAGTACACTGTTTTGCAGAACTCCCGTTTTTTCAGGAATGCATGTATCAGGTTATAGCATAAACACCTATACTCAGAATGAGGTGGGGCCTCTCTCTTCCACCAAGCATTCTTGACAGGTCCTGAGTTTCCCTTAGAGAGATCCAGGAGATCAGGCACCCACTTACCCCTGCGAATGGAACAACATCTGAGGAGCTTGTGTAGCAGTTCTCTGGAGTTTGGGCACCCGAGTCCATCACAGGTCCCCTCTTCTCTCCTGCCTCCAGACCCTCAGACCACTCAGGCGAGGCCAAGTGAAAAGACCAGAATTTTGCCGCTTACAAGCTTACAGATCCTGAGCAAGTCACCGAACCTCTGCAGGACTCAGTTTCCTCGTTCTTTAAATGTTAAAAAAAATCACGGTGGTTGTTTTTAATTTAAAATCTGCCTTTGATTCTTGCTTTGCCATTTATAATTCGACCTTGGACAGTGACTTGGGGCCTTTGCGAGGATTTAATGATTCCACATGAGCAAAGCACTTAGCACAAGATGCACAGTAAGCCCCAATAAATTGAAGTTCCTATTCTGGGAGGCGGCGGATTCTCGAGGGTACCCAAAGCTGGTGGGGGAAAGCAGAAGTGGCTGTGATTTCCCCAGGGACAGTAAACACATCCTCCCGGCCTCGTCTACCCTGCAGAGGCCTCGTCATCAGCCTGACCCCCTAGCCTGCTGGAGCCACCAACCGGCTCCCCGAAGCCCGCGGCTTGGGGACTGCCTCCCGCAGCGCCCGCGCGAGAACAGACTACATTTCCCGGCGTGCACCTCGGGTCGGGGCCCCCAGGGGCCGTCCCGCCGCAGGGACCTCGTCCGGCCGCATTAGAGGCTCGGGGGAGTAACCATCGTTCACGCAGCTTCTACTACTCGCTTTGTGAAACGCGTCCGTTACGGTCAACCCCACCTTGGGCTGCGGCCCCAGCAGGGTCTGTGAGGGACGCTTGGCCCCCTCCTCCAGGCGTCCTGCCCAGTGGATCCCAGGGAGGGTCCGAGACCAGTCTTGTCTCCCCTGGAGGATTCCTTCGGCCCCGCGGGGTCCCCACTGCGGCCTGACGCTGGCAGCGGGGCTCGGGGGGCTCGGGGGCTTGGGACGAGCCTCGAGGCCGTGCAGCCGGAGACTACAACTCCCAGGCGGCACCGCGGCGGCGGCGGCGGCAGCGGCGAGCACGTCACTCAGGCACCGCCGGCGGCCC